CGATGCCAACGTATAGCGAGGAGCAAGGCGTCACCGCCGGCGCGACATCCAGTAAAGGACCGGGAGGGCTAGACAGTGCGAAACTGGAAGGCTTAGCTATTCCTTTCTTTTATTATTAATTTCCATTGGACTCGTGCTGCTTCATTTTGTTTGTCTGAATTCCATTCCTTTCAAATCCGTCAGGCTCAAGGTACATAGCTAGCAGTCGCGACCAGTTATCTAATAAAGGGAAAGAATCGGACCAGCATTATCGTAGTGGTGTAGTGCCGGGCTGCAGCAATGGACTTGTCTTCTGAAATCCTAACAAGGACCTCTTATTTTTCTGCTTCACATTCATGGAAGTGCTGTCCGTCGATTAGAGACGCAACCACGGTGAACAATTCACACACCTGCGCTCTCTCTTGTTTGGGAAGAGCAGGCGTGGTAGCGTTCCTTACTCGTTGTATGATGTCTCAAAACCTCCATTCGTTAGAAGGGACTTGAGGAACAGCCGTCACTGGAAGTTTATGGTGGGGCGAAAATGTGGCAGTTGACCACTGTTTCCAACCTGCTTTCGTATTTCTGCACTGTCGAGAGTATTGTGATATTCGAAATAGGGGATATGACCAAGCTTCACCTTCATCGTCCGTAGTACCTTTAAGTGCCCTGAAGAACATGGGCCGTATCTTCTTCAAAACCTGAAGCCGGAGGACATCCCATGGCAGAGGTCACAGTAATTTCCACACTGTTCGCTGGTCATTCCGGTAGTGTGATGGCCATTCCAGTATCCCTCGTTAATAGTGTTTGCCAATCCACATGCTCTATGCTGAGAACCGTAACAACGCATGTTTGCATTTAGTCAGCCTTCATTCCCTCTGCGCTTTTTCCATAGTTCTATATCATCTAGCGAAACTTCAGCTTCTTTTTCAAAGTCGAAGTTTTCATGTAATTGACTTGTTTTTGCTAGTTTTTCAAGAGGTGGTCTGAAGCCTCTGAAATAGTCATATGAAGGATTGAAGGTCACGGACGTCTTCCTTTTTTCAGGTGCAACCAGTTGATTGTATTCTGAATGCGGGATTCCGATTAGTTCGAAAAGGGCTGGCAAGCGAACTTTATAAACTATTGGTGGAGAAGGAGAAAGTGACTACCGAAGATCTACTCGAACACATGGCAAGTTTTTTAATCCAACATAGCATGAATTACTTTGGCTGTGCTTTTTCACATGAAAAAAATTTTAGTGAGGGACCCGTATACAGTAATCCGGCTGTTAGTCGTGGTTCGGGTATGTATTCTTTGACGACGTACTTGGTGGGTGGAGAAACTTATCCCCGCATTCCCGGCCCGCGCAGTGGTTCCGCGGCGACTCTCCGTATTCCTGGAAATACTGATCTCTCTTTACAACGCGCGGTCGCGTGCGGCGAGAGAGGGGGAAGTACCGTTTGGGGAGAAGTACCGCACCCGTGCTTGGTCGAGTAAATTTATCAACCATCCAACTCTTGGTCATTTTCTTTTTCGGTGCATCTGTAGGTGACGGGATTAGGACATATGTACTCAAATAATGTTAGGCCGTGGAAGGAAATATGCGGTATGCGGTAATATGGAAGTTCTGCTTCCACTGCATTTTCTATCGTCAATAGTTGGGCTGCGCACGTTGAGGCGCGCATCCGATGTCCCCAACGTCTACGATCTTGCTCAAAAAAAAGATTCGCTGTGTATAAAGCGCTCGCGCCCATCTGTCTGTTTGCATTGAAATTCGATGTCACCTGGAGATATCCTTACAGAAGTCGGGTCAATGGGATGAGTTGCGCGCAAAGCCAAAGAGCATATGGGACCTCAGCTGGGTGGAGCATGCGCAGGAGTGGGCGGTATTATGGGCAAGACTTATTAGGTTTCATAACAGCCCAGACGTAATGATGTATACCAGGAGGCAACATTCCCTTCACTCAGCGACCCCAAGCTAAGAACAACGAGCCTAGCGTACAATAATACAATAATAGAATACAATATAATAAAAGAATAACATATTATATAATAGGCATATAATAGTAGAATATATACCGAGTTGACCTGAGCCATCAACCAGATACATCATGATAAATTGATCAAAAGTGAGGATGATCCAATAAGAATAAATCATCGGCGGTGCGAGCGGAGCGTTCTCGCAGTGGGCTTATATCACATAAGTCCAAACTTATTTCAACGTAACCTTGAGGACCAGAAAAAATAAAAGAAGTGAACAAGGCTTTATGCGAGCTGGGCGTACGTAATATATCAATGCTCCACCCGCGATGGGCGGGGCGTGTATTCCACTGATTGGTTCCTTCTTGAAAAAATTCATAACTTTTTCAAAAGTGTCGAACGAGAGAAAAGATTGGTTGGAGGCTGTAGCAGAATGGTCAGATCCCTGAAGCAAGCGGGGTTTGCACCAAAGTAGGTAGGACTGGGATCAAAAATTCATGTACTAAAAAAACGCGGGAGAAAATTGATTGGAGGCTATAGAAGAAATGTTGCCAAATCCATGAAAAGGGCGTGGTTTGCAGTAAGGTAGGTGGGACTGAGATCAAAAATTCATAACTGTGTTCAAGGACGTTTTGAACCGCGGGAGAAATTGGTCGGGGCTTATAGAAGAAATGGCTAATGGAAAGAGGAATGGGCCAAATTCATGAAGAGGTTGGGCTTCACAACAGTGTAGGCGGGGCCAAGATCCAAAATTCACTACTCTGTACAAAAACGTCCTTATCATTCCAATATCGTTCTTCATATGAATTCGTCAACATTAGTCAACACCGATAAAACTTCATCAACACTTACAATATATGAAAATTCGTTCCTGTCTGTCTGTCTGTTCCGAAATTCGGTATTGCCTGAAGAAGTTGGGTCAACTTTGGGTTGGCTAGGACTCCACGCAAGATCAACAGAGCATAGATGAGCTCCAGGAAACCATGCTCACAAGGGGTGGAACATTAACCGGTGTGGGCAGTACAAAGAGAGAAATATAATTTTGCTCCAAAAAGCCCCATCGAGAAAATTGGGCAAAAGTTAGGAATAGGTCAACAACGGATGAGACCCATCCGCTCTAAGCGGAGCGTTCTCGAACTTTTGTAAAATTCCGTCACCCACCTTAGCCTATTGCCAGCTTCTCGAGAATTCTGAGGGCGTGGGGACTCAGCGAAAAAATAATCTCTTTTGGACGCGTTCTCTGTACGTTAGGGTGCGGAGCCCGAGTGCTGGGAACATTTTACATGTCCTATATACACGACACTGCTTCACTCNACATCGAATGAGAGGCGGACACGTCATTGACATACCCGCCCATTGAATTATCGCGAACTGTGCCTTTAGGTGCGTAGTTATCACGAACATTTACATTCGAAATTTCGCTTCAATTTAACAATAGGATATTGCGCATCAGAGATGTAATGAGAGGCAGTAAGCTTGATGATGTCCGATGCCCATGATGTCAATGACGAGGTTTTCTATCCTACCTCCTCTTTTCGAAGGTTCGATCACCCTGCGATGGGAAAGTTATGATTCCCAGTCAGCGACCTCGCAAACTCATCGGTATTGGTCAGGGCATCCATATAAGGCGTATCAGTAGACCTTCTTTTCCACGACACATTTCTCCCGTAGGCATACATATATTACAGTATAGAAACCTTGCTCCAAGTGAATCCACGTATTCAAGGGTCCACTCCTCGAGAACTCACAGAAGCCTGCACGGCTTGACGAAATACGCGCAGCTAAGAAGAAATTGCCAGATTTGATTACAACGGACGGAGAATTTTGGAAACTGAAGAGTAACGAAGAGTTATTCGTGGTCACGGACGTGAATTTATAGAAAATCGCTATGTTTTAAGTGTACGTGTCTTTCAATCATCTTTGCTCCTTTTCCATTTGCCTTTATTTCGAAGACGTTTAAAATGAAACTTCTCTTTTTTCTTTCTAAGAAGGATTTTCATAACCGGACATTGTGCTACGTTGCCTTATATTTGCATATACATTTACTTGTTGTTTATGTTGAATTGCTCTATCACCACACAAAGCTGCTTATTTTTGTTGTTTTGTACTTGGTTTCATACCCTTTTCCGAGAAAGAAATCGTCATTGAGCTCCCATCATCTAGAATTTAATGCTGGCACTTTTTTGAATTGAGCCAACCAAGCACTTCACTTCTTTGAGGCCAATCGGCTGGTACCGATCCTTGTACTCGTTTGAATGGAAAAGCACTAAACTTGCTCATTGTCGTGCGCCAGGAAGTAAGTTTATAGGTCGAGCACTCATCCAACGTTTCTGCGATTTTGAACAGTAGTCGAATGTATGGAGTCATACTGAAATGGAATTGGTTATCGTTTATTGACTTTATTGATTGAATTTAAAATATCGCACCAAAATGAACCGAAGAAGGTTCTTTGAAACTCGTTCTCGAATTCTTCCCTATTCTACAAGCTGTCGAATTCTCGCTCATTTTCTTCTTACTACTTTTTGCTTTCCGCCGTGAGCTAGCGCTCGTTAGGGAGAGCATCGCGAACAGTTTACAATGACGTCGTTTCCGTCTTAAAGGCTCCTTCGTTTCATGGCCTAAAGGGTCATCTGCTCTTGCTGGCATCTTGGTTTTTTTTTCTCTGTAAAGTCAGTTTTAAAAAATGTACGTAGAGAGAAAAAAGTCATCGGTTCACTTCCATGCATCGGTGAAAGGTAGTGGGATTCGTTGAGGATTCTCGGGTTTCGTGGTAGTACCTTAACCCTGGTAGTATTGGTAGCAGAAAACTGGTTACCGGAGACCAACGAAAATTTTAGACCCTGAGACTTTTGGGAAGTGATCACCACTGTCCTTCTCAAGCTATAAAATTTGAGCACCAACAAACTCTTGGCTGGAATACAGCTTCACTTAGTAATACAGTTATTAAAAGTTGCTGGTTCACTTTGATCCCATCCAGCTTTGCTCCTTTTCTACTGCCCATATTTTGAAGATCTAACTGTTGGATCAGTTTTTTCTACTTACTTAGTTTCCTTCTATTTCGTATGTTTAATTTAGTAGTTCTGCATAGTACGCTCATTACCGGTTTCTTTACCTTGTTGGAAACTCCCAAATAAGTCATTGCTCCTATGCAAGCTTTAATGTAGATTTTTGCCATGAAATGCCCTTGCTCTGTTCATTTGAAGTTACTGCTGTACATTTTTTTGTTTTTCATGATTCAGTTACTCTGTTGTAGATTGATTTTTTCTTGAAGAATTAGTTTGTTTTGCTCTGTACTCTACTTTTTGTTCCTGAAAAAAGCGAAAAGCCTCGAGCGAGAAGGAACATTTCGTTTTTTTACATCAATGAGTTAAAAGACGCTTGCGTCACAGCTGTAATTTTACAGCCGAGAAGATGCGTTCTGTGGTCTTTACTTCTGCTTTAGGTAACTCGTAACGACTAGTAGCTGAACTGCAGCCTCCACTAACCACTGGATAAAATCTTTAAATGTATAGATCACAATATTGCTCAAGTGATAATTGAGGGCATAGAACAACAGAGATAATTGAGGTTATTTTTGAAGGCAATACGAAGTAAGTGCAAAAAATCCTGTCATCCGCAGGATTCGAACCTGCGCCCTCCGAAGAGGACTGCGACCTGAACGCAGCGCCTTAGACCACTCGGCCAGAATGACACGACAGCAACTGTTTGTCAAGCCCTCATCAACAGACGTCGATTCTTCCCAGCTACTAATGGGAATGTTCGGGAATGTTTGTCCGTTTTTGCACCTGTGGCAAATAAAGCTTCTCCCTCGATTTTAATTCGTCTACGGTCTTTTTTCCATAGATTCAAATTACTTACCTAATTTTCTTTTCTCGTCAAATTCTGATTCCTCAATTGCCATCGAAACTCAATTTGTCCGAGAATCTGACAATAAACATCTCAACAACAACACGCACTCAGAATACAGTATACCTGAACAACTATCAGACTTTCAGACTTTATATGTAGTTGCAGAGCTTGATGCCAGCAAGAGATTCTCCTACATCCTTTGACAGTTTCTAACAACCTTTACGAAGCTTCGCAACCTTTTCTAACTTTGTAACCTTGGTTGAGCTTGGTTTTTATCGTATTCTTCTCCCGTTCT